TTTTTTTTTTTTTTTTTTTAATTGTACCGCCTTGCCACAAGCCTCGAATCAGAGTCCCCGGTATCGCGGGCTTCGGCATCACCATCGACTATGCCATGTCAGATGGCCAGTAAAAAGGCCGATATAAAAGAAAGAGAAAAAAGAAGTGGGAAGCACACAGCTCGTCTGTGCCTCACTCTCAGACAAACTAGTCATGGTAGCATTAGCTTATCATGGCTTTTTTCGGAATTCCCAAGTCCTCTGGGGTCCAGACAGTCAGTCCCTGGGCCTGGTAGGACAAATAGAGATGTCGAATTGGCTCATTATGGCCCTGGGACCCATCACACCACCCACCAAAGAGTAAACGGCGTCGACCGACCATCGGATTCCGACCGGCTCTTAGACAATTGCCCGGTGTCTCTCCATCGTCAGTTGTCTTTATAACCGAATTGGGTCGCCACTCATCAAATCCTGCCCTGCTTTGTCTTGAATTTTCAACTAACAACTTTGAATTTATACCTCTTTATCTGCTCATGAACTTGCTATTGAGGCTCCAACCTCATCAACATTTATACAGTCGACACAAGTGTAACATCGTCAACGCAACATAACACGAACCCAACAAGTGGATCACCACTCCCCTCTCAACTCACCGCGTTCTCAAATTGCATTACATCACAGCTACTGTGAATACCTTCAAACACGTCAATCAAGTGGCATCTGATCCGGATTTTCAAATCCTCAACCACAATCTCCCAAACATCTACATACACACTTTGAACCAAAACAAGACAAGCAACCATGGTTCAAGTATTGGCTGATCACACATTCTCTCCCGCCGGGACACCAACTCACGAGGCCACTGATGGCCCTCTCATGATGCGTCCTGGCTTTGGCAGGACCGACTCGTCAACACCAATGACCCGAGAGGAACACGCGAGGCGCATGCAGGAACTTAACAAGAAGAGAGGCCTGATGAGGGCACCTCGAAGAGGCTGGTCAATGACCGATTATCAAGGCGACCATGTTGCTGCATCGCACTCCGGTGCAGCTCACGTCAACCGACAAGCGCCTATTCCTGAGAATGACTCACCTTCTCCAACCGAGCGTCAAGAGCCTGTGATGCCCGAGGCTCCAGTTGAGGACAAAACAACTCAGCTTCCTCGCCGACCCAAGCTGCCCCCTCCCCGCCGTTCATACTCAGTTATGGACTATGAGCCTATCCCACAAACTCAACCCCAGCCTCCCAAGGACCACACCTTACTTGATCTTCCTTCTGAGCTTCATTACACCATTTTCGACCACCTCGACCCCATCGACAGCGTTTGCTTTGGCCTTACTAACTCCAACTTTTACGAAATTCACCGAAGATTACACGGTACGGTGCCCCTTTCCAGCCGTTACTCAGGGCCAAACGACATGGAGTGGGCTTGGCGAGGAGCTGGCCCTCTTGTCCATCGACAAGAGCGAGCACCTGAGAAGGAGGGCCCCATGGACCAGATGCGCGTCAAGGGACAGGTTTACTGTAGGAAGTGTGGAATTTCTCGATGCGAGCTGCACCGTCACCTCAAGGACTGGATGCCCGAGGGCTACGAGTACTGCTCTATCAAGGAGGTCTTCGGCAAACCCGCCGGAGAGGACGCAAAGCCATACTGCTACATGAAATCACCCAAGAACCCGCATAGATGTGGTCGTCACGGGGGAAAGCAGGGCACATCTCATCAAACATCCTAGATAAAGATAAACTGAGACTACAGCGACAAGCGCAACGATAGAACGAAACGAACCCAGAAAGGGTATGACGACATGAAAGCAAAGAAGTCGGTCAGACAACCGACATTTATTAAGTTATTATTTTTGCACTGTTTTGCGGTTTTATAGAAAGACCTTTCCGTTATTAGCCTGTACAAGCAATTTATTTCTATTTCTCAAGACGAGAGCTTGTAATGAGATGTGTTCATTGTGAAAAGCACATAGAACGGTACCTAGAGCAAAAAGGTATCGTAAGTTGACCCTGCTCGTGTTACAACATGACGCTATTGGAATATCTCCTGGAGCCACAAATAGGTTTATCGTTGCCTAAAAGCGCGGCAAAAGCGATGCTTCTATCCAAGATACTCGAGTTGGTTCATGATGGACAACAATAGAGCTAGCTCTATGATGCAATTCTGGCCATGGAGATGGATCGACAAACATGGGTCAAATTCCACACCCGTTAACAAACAGAATAGACGTCATAACTCTTATCAGGACGGCATCGTCATTGAGATATCAAAGCTTATCGTAAGTTCCCGATACTGTCTAGATTGCTAATGGTGGAATTGGTTTTGCGGGCCATCTGTGATATTTCTTACGATCCCAAGTTGCATGTAGCCAGTATCAGAGGCCCCCTTCGTGTTGAACAGGAAAACCCAACATAATATTTACAGATCTTATGCAGAACCAGTCATAGAAACACTCATCAGTCAGTTACAGTCACATAACGAACCAAATTCTTATCTAGACTTTCTATTGCGCCTGTAATCTTCATATAAAAGTCTACCTGTGCTGTCGTGTATAACGCGTATAAACTCATAGACCACCCGCCCCAGATCCAATGTCTAACCGTAGAAAAAGAGTAGTACTTGCTCTCCGATCCGCTCTACTCTAACTAACAGACCATGCAAATGTGCGCCGAAATAAAGCCTAGCCAAAGAAAAGAAGAAAATGCTCATCTGTAATCCCAAGATGTGTCCCTTTATCATGGTGCAGATTACCCGAATCCTTAAACGCCTTTCCCAACGAGGGAATAATGACAAACACCACTCATAACCATATTTTGCCTTGTTCGGTAATAACAAGGAAGAAAAATGAAAAACACACGCCGCGGTGCTATAGTGCTTTACCTGGGATCCTTCCAATTCGGTGTGCAGTCTCCCTTGGCATCGATCCAATCATTAATGCCTTGAACAAACCAGCCGCTTGTCCATTTCTCCTCTGGCTTTTGTTCCTTGCGAGGCTTTCCCCTCTTGAAGCTTTTGGCAACGCAGCAAACGTTGTTGTGGTAACGCCACTGGAAACAACGACGACTGGCATTCCAGTTTTTGTCGCCCCTCTTCTGGTTATAACGCCTCTTTATCATCTCGTTGCGCTGGTTGTCATCCTTGAGGCCGTAATAATCATTTTCGGAGATGTTGAGACCGTCGCTCTCGCAAACTTTAGCACAATGCTCCTTGGAACGGTGCGCATGCTGCTCTACAGCGTTCTTCTCATTCTCTTTCCTCTGTCGACTCTTTTGGTGGTCGGAGGCCTTGGCTTGAGCTTCAGGACCAAACCCGATGTAGCACACGTCGTCAGATAGGTTATCCCATTCGTCATGCTGGGATTCCAGCTTGGGAGCCCAGAACTCATGGTACATTTCCCTAATCTGAACAGGTCCCTGTCGCTTGCGTCAATTGCCGATCTCTTTACCACGAATGTTCATAAGACATACCTTCTTCTTTCGGGTCTGCTCAAAGTGCCAAGCATCGCTGACCTCCTCGGGGTTCATGTGGTGCATAGTCAACAGAGGTTCGCACCAGTGGTTATTGCCGAAAGGCAACGTAACGGGCTTCTCGCCGTTGAACATAGGGTGCGCCTGCTTAACCTTCTTGCCTGTCTCCATAACGGCCAGAGACATGAGGTAATCACCACAGCACTCATGAGTGGCCATCATATCATACTTGTGCGCCAAGTCCGGGATGGCGACCATCTTCTTCATGGTATCACCATGAATAACATAGCCACTGCCACCATGGGCAAAAGGCTTGCCCTTGAGCATTGCAACACTCCCGACATAAGGAGTTTCTGTCCCATTGACCCTGTTGCGAAGGTACCATACCAAGTTCTGCCAGAAAACATAAGTATCGGCCTCGGCAAACACATACCACTCCTTGTTGGGGCGCATTTCCCAAGCCTTCTCTACCATGTGGAGGAATTTGTACTTGTCAAGGTTCCAGCCATCCTTGCCGTTCATATCGGCGGTACAATACTGCTGGGGAATTGGACAATCATTCTGCGCTTTGTAAAGATCAAACTCTTTGCGCCCTTTTCTGACGTCCTCCTTGACGTCTTTGAGGACATCGTATATTTGGTACTTGTCAATTTGCTGGTCCTATCCGGATTGGTTAGCTGCATCACTCCTGGAATTGTGGCTTGATATGGAGTTCCGTAAGTGGCGCAAAGGGGTGCCCCCCTGCGTCCTCACTCCTTAACATCAAAAGTTGTTTACTTACCAGGTCGGAGAATAGGAGATAGTCATCCAGACACTGGAGACTTGTCAAGAGATGGGCCGGGAGTTTGGTGAAGGCTTCAGTGGCACCGGTTTTCATGACAAGCATGATACCATCTGTGTTGGGGAACCCGTCACAGACACCCGTCCAATTCGATAGAGGCCCTGAGGGAACATCGAGCTCTGCCGTCTGTGACGGAGTAAATACGCCTGCGATGCTGGTCGTTGTGCTCACTTCAGGAGCTTTAGTTTCGGTTCCACCAATGCCGTTTCCGTCTTTCTGGCCGTTTTGATTCTGCGACAGGTCTGGATTCTTGATTCCGTCGGGTCGCTGATCATCGCCATTAGGAGACACGTTCTCGACTTGTGGTTTATCCTCTTGGCTTTGGGGCTTTTGCTGATCGTCATGGGACTGAGGCTGGTCTGCGTCTTGTTGTGGCTTGTTCTCGCCGACTTGATCGCCCTGAGGTTTGATATCGATACCCTCGGACTTGTTGATTTCCGTGGGTGCCTCGTTATAAATTTTTTCGTTATGGGCGACTTCGTTCTCGATACTATGATCGACTTCAAGGACTATTCGATCGTCCTGGATACTCGGGTTCTGTTCGCCTTCTGGCTGCTGGGCTCCCTCAGGCACCTCGGGGGTTTTGGGAGCTTCCTTCTCCTCCTCGCCGGTGTATTGGGGTGTATCCGTATCATAAGAGATCCTCTCGACGGTGGTCTGACGGTCCGGCTCCTCATCTTTCAATATCTGCTCGTTGGTGGTTTCGTTGAGGTTGGCGATAAAGCCTTCTTCGACATCGTAAGCGGCGCCCTCATGACTGAGATATTTTGTCAGATGGCCGTAAACGCCCGGAGAATCGTCGCTGAGTCGATGGAGGGGTATAACAAGCAGCAAGGTCAGCGCGATGAGTGTGACAGTGATCAACCTCCAGCCCCTAGGAGTGCTCCAGGCGGAGCTTAAGTGAAGACCCATTGCCAAAAGCTGATGGATGATGCGAACGAGACTGAACCTAACGAATTACATGTAGGTAAGAAGGATGAAGTGTCGAGGAGAAACAGAAATGAGAGTGGTGCCGAGAGAGGCTGGCTATAAGCTGCAGGCAGGCTGTAAGAAAGAATGAAGAGCGGGACGGGGGACAGGGAACAAGATAAAGTGACGACAGCCAACAAAACTGAAATCACGTTTTGTGCAGCTCCTGTAGTTGTCCGTTCTTAGACGGGACAGGAGGGGAGACGTGTCGATAGATACTGTAGAGTACAGTACTGTCGTTTCCACATCAGCTTATTCAGACCTTGGCTTTTGGTCTCGTATCTCTGTTTGCCTGCCCTGCCTGACCTGCGAACTTCAACAAGTCACTTCATTGAGCGAAGCAAAACCAAACTCCAGTTGAACCAGGGCTCTCCCTAGTCTCTGATCGCTAGTCAGGCCCAGGCTTGACGCGGCGTCCCGCAAGCTGCTCACCCTACCACGATTCTGATAGGACAATCATCCACATGCGATTCAGGGGTATCCACTGCCACCCGCAGCCACCGTGACAGGTCTTAGCCGCCTTGGAATGGCATTCTATTTGGCGAGGGATGCTCTTCATACGAGACCAAACCAAACGCCCGTAAATTCATAGAGTTTGACTTTGATGTAATGCCGCAATCCATGACCCATTCCTACAACCTTGTGTCTGGAACGCAATCTGCAACGCACTGGCTTGCTGTCCAAATTCTGCTTCCGGCGAGCGATCAGATGTGCAATCTTCGCAGATTGCTCATGGCGCTGGGCGTCACCCCAATACCAATAGTCGAATATGTGGCTGGAAATCACAGGTTCCGAGTACCCCGAAACGAACATTTCAACGTTGGCCCCTTTTTAACAGAAGAATGCTTCGGTGGATATACTATTGAATGGCTTTCGAAAAGAAAGCAGGAGATGAAGAATTGAACCCTGGATTCAACCCAGCATCGATAGTTCCTCCTAAGATTGTTTCGTTTGTCACTAATAACCGTCAATAGCGTCAGGTAGTGCTTCTCTAGGTGAGCTTTAGAACACGCCAGGCACGCCAAACCATGCCGAAGTGGGGTCCTTTTCCTATTTCGCCTTTACAGCTGTTGACGGTTTCCAGCAAAAGGCCATATATTTTTTTTCCCTGCCCCTGAGGCTTGCAGCGTGCCTGGACCGGCGCAAGTCGAGCTGAAAACCGCAATGCTGAGCTAGTTCGAGGAGCTGATGAGGGGACGTGAGGACTGGTCGTAATCATTATCAAACTTCCCTTGTCACCATCCCTTGCGCCAAGATAGCGATGCGCGCCATAGTCTTCCTGATGGAGTACTGCGCAGCGAACCCACGTTTCAGAACCATCTGAAACTCAAATCTGAATCCGTCACAGACTCCCGACTCCGTCCGCGCACGAATAACGGCTTCTATTGTTGTAGAAGAAACGCGGACACACTTTCTGTCATCCGTGATCTAGAGCTTTCTGTGCCACGATATTGTGCTTAAAATACACGATATGCAGTCTTATCGAATTGCCGAGATCGCCTTAGTTGTAGTGGAATTTTGAGATGCAATAGCCATTCCTTGTTCACCGATTGCATGTCAGAACTGGTCAGGATATAGCATGCGGATTCCCGGTCATATCCAACGTGTCGTCTATATGACTTGATCCTAGGATTGTGAGATCAGTATCGAAAGATAATCAACTGTGATGTGGTTATCCTTCTGCCGATAACCTGTCCTTGTTTCACGTGCACCAAGGTGCGATTTGGTTGGAGACTCTGCGCAGGCCAAGGCCACGCATGATTGGAGGCGGAAGCGTATGCGGATGCTTGATGCAAGTAGCTCAGCGGCATCGAGGTCTCACAAAATGTGATCATCTGCATAAGATCGCGCTGCAAACATCACGGGTGGGGTTCTTTCCTTGTGCCGTTGAGGAAGCCCGCATGGTGAGTTTGCGTACGCAATGGTGAAGTTGTACAGAGTTTCAGATATTGATTGAGTCGTGTAGTGGAGTCGAAACTGTTTCGGCCTTTGTGATGATGTTTTCTCTTGAGCGTATACCATAGCCTGGGTAGGTACTATCTAAGGTATGCGCTTTCCATAGGTTAGTACCTAGGTCGGTAGGTTGCACCTACCAGTTTCTGCCTACTACTGCCAAGCAAGATAGGTACCTACCTACCTACCTCGGTATAGGGCAGGCAGGTGTCTGATTGATAAGATGATAAGCAACTGCCACTCGAGAAAGAACCTGAAGGGTCTCGATCTCGATCCACCAAAGTTGCAAGAGCAGTAAAGATCAACCATTGGGGAAAGGCGCCAATGGTCCAGTCGCACGTGCATAACAGCACGTTAGAAACGGGAGGCAGGTACAAGCCATTAAGGTAGGGCGTGCCACTTCACAGGAGAGTCACCAATAGATCATCATACATACATATCTTGTTCCTTGAGTTTATCTTCTCCTTTGTTGACGCTGTTCAGCGTTGGTTCATCAATATTTTCCGTCAAAAGACATATCCCGTTGTACCAGGTTTTCGGACATTACTGTGCCTACCTATGGTTCGGCGGATTCGGCTCGATTTGCGCGACTTGGATCGAGGCATCATATCCCAAACGTCCAGTGCGGTGCGTGCCGGGGCCAAGCAATTGCGGTAAACGGCTTTACTCAGCACGGCATTTAATCGTACCGCTTGCGCCATTCCTTTCAAAGTGGTTCCGAACCGAGCGCTGGTTCGTCGATGGCTTTTCTTCATGGAATCATAGACTTTTTTGTTTACTACCTTGACAGGGTCTTGAGACCCCGCCCCACTGAAGAACGATCCGAACAAAGACAGTCTGGATCGAGAAGCTAAACGTTGACATTACGATTTGTTGCCCTGATTGGACCCTTCTTTCATACCCGTCTGCGCGAATCTATGATGCGGAATTCGCCAACGAGCACCAGTTTTTCAAAACATGTCGAGATGGCATTACCCGTTTTCCTGCTTCTTATTCATACTTCTACTCGATCTGAAGTTTATAAAGAACCCGCGATAGTAATAGCTCGGCCCTCCGGATAGAGCCGGACTCCTATCGCATCCACTCATCTTGGAGACTATGTCTAGATCGGGGCTGCTAAAGGTTCTCGCAATCGAAACCACATCCAATTGGACAAGGACAGGCTCCCATCCTCCCCAGATCTCGCTTTCATAAACGTAAGCTATCCATGACTCTGGCCAGGGATCGAGCAATTCCTTAAAAAACGCAGTCTGCCGTCTTGATTCTTTTCAAGGACCACATCTTCTCCTGTTTCTTGTCTTGCCTTGTCTCATCTAGGCTGTGAGCCTCGCTACTAGATAGTGCTCCACCAGGCTGTTTTGTGATCTTGGGTCAATATCAGATTTTGGACCCGAACCACTCCTCTTGAAGATAAGGGTTTTGTGGGCTTCCGATTCGCAACAAACATTTTGGAGCAACTACGCAATCATATCATATAGACACTTACGGTCAACTACGTTCAGTCGGTACTGCGAAAAGACAGTCTATTCACTGCACATTCGCTTTCAGGATTTGCATGCGAGCCTTGTTTGCATCCGGCCTTTCGACTTCCTCGGTCAACTTGATCCCCAGGTCTCAGCAAGATGACAACCTTATCGCAGCCTGCCCATGGGCCAGTTCAGACAAGCGCAGTTGTGGTGCTCGGAGCTTCTTCTTGTCCTGCCATGCCTCCCCCCTCTCCTCCCACACCTTCCTCATCGCCTCCGGGGGATGCTTTTTGTGAACCCATTGACCCGTTGACTCTGGACAGAGAGCTTCGAGGGGAGTCGCAAGCAAAGGATCAACGTCTTCGAGATGGGATTCATGTGCTCAACACAGAAGCAATAGCTTTAAGAAATCTTTCGCGACTCTATGAAACAGATGCTGTGGCCCGTGATGGCTTCAACCAGACAGTACAAGCTATAATACGACAGCAGTCGACAAACGGAAAACTCGTTGTCATTGGCGTGGGAAAATCTGGACACATTGGGCAGAAACTTGTGGCTACATTCAAGAGCCTTGCTATTCATGCTGTCTTCCTTCATCCTACAGAAGCCTTGCATGGTGATCTAGGCATCGTTGGGTCTAACGACACCCTCATGTTCATCACATATTCGGGCAAGACACAGGAACTACTTCTCATGCTGCCTCATCTTGATGAGTTTCTCCCAACTATACTTCTTACATCACACACATCGCCTGGTACTTGCGAGTTTATCAAGCACCGACCAAACACCATTCTACTTCCTGCTCCGATCCCAGAGCCTGAGAAGACATCGTTTGGTGTTTCTGCCCCCACTACATCAACAACAGTTGCACTGGCCATCGGCGATGCAATCGCAATTACGGCTGCCAAAGAAATAAACGCAAGCATTGCATCTGTTTTCGCAAAGAATCACCCGGGCGGTGCCATCGGTGCCGCAGCTCGACAACCCCGAACTATCAAGGATATAGCCATCAGCTGGTACGATATTCCAGCAGAAGAGACAGCAGAAGCTATTTTAGGGTTTGACCTGCTTCGTGCAGGTCTGGACTCGACGACAGGTTGGGTTAAAGTGCAAGACCAAGTGGCCTCTCCCAGCACGATACGTGGGATTGGCAGACATGAGTTGAACAAAGGTTTAGAAGAAATCCCAGGCTCTCTGATATCCAGAAGCACTATGATTTCACTCTCTTCGGACACTACGATTCGTCAAGCGCAAGATATATTGAACAATATGCAGTTGTCGCCGGACGACGAAGATTTAAGATGCGGACGGGAGGCTGTTGTGGCTGTGCTGGAAAAGGGGGACCTGGTAGGCGTTCTGGAAGTTGGCAGCATTATGGATTTCAGAACTGAGGGACCTCTATCGAGGTAATTATACAGGCTCTTTACCCGGGAGATGACGCGAGGGGTCCGTCTAGCAGGACGGGTATTTACGTTTTACGATGGCGTTGACGATTATGGCTGGCATTTACTACGGATGCTTTTGGGCAAAGGCACCCGACAGGTTTTGGCGTTTCATAGACAGGCGCATATCTATTAGAAAGGCAGAGAATACATTGTGTACAATTTTATTGACAAGACTGAGACTGGTGGTTACTTATGGTATATTTGGGACGTGTTCGATAATTTGGTCGCATCGTGTACTGGTGTCACACTTTACATGATCCACTAAAAGCAATCATTCAACCGTTGTTGCCTCTCGACTTTTCACGTTATCAGTGCATGGAATCTCACAGGCATGGTGCAATTAACACTACAATCTTACGTGAAATACCTACAGGCCTGTACAAAAGTCAGTTCTTGAACCTAAACAAGCTACCCTATAACAACGACCTTATCGGTCTTTGCTCCAACAAGTATCGAGCATAGGAAGTCTGACACCATTTATGGACCTTTACACGTCCTTTATGGATGAGCCAAGATTTCTGTAAGCCAGCGGCGTAGTGCAGAAGTCCATTTGGTACTGCCGATATTGCAAGCATCCTTTTTCCGGTGATAGCATCAGAAATTTTGGTCTTCTGTATGGAAGTTGGAGAAATAAAAAAGAAACAGCTAAACGCTGAGTGGAAATGGTCGAAATCTTGAAAAATGCAAGGCGTGTTATAGAGGGTGCATGTCGATATTGCCTCCTACTCGTCAAAAAAGAGGATGGATAGGCTGCAGGACGATGCCACGGAGAGTTCCGTCGAAGCTCGTGATAGAATACCCATTTTGAAGCGACGGTTCTTTCTTCACCGTACGTATGGGGAGCTAGACAGTCTACTTTTATACGATGTGTTAGTGCAATGCTTTCTGTTAGCTGGGCACATATTTGGATTGTTACCTAGTCTAACCAGAGTTTCCAAATCATACTCGTCAAGAGGACAAAGGATTATACCCTCTTTCAGTCATATCGACTAACCAAAGGCATTCCTACGACAGAACCACATGTCTCCCATGAATAAGACATAGTTCCTGACCTTGGGTCTCTACCAGATCCACAAGCCCTCTTATATCGGTGACAGACCCATTCCGCCGTCAAGTTGGCCGATGGATGACAAGCTTGTTGAGTAGGCTGCCGTACCCCGTGGGTGAGATTATGAGATTCTTCTTCGGATAATTTCTGTACTGTAATGCTGTAGTCACTCGACATGTTTCCCTTTGTGGGAGACAGACCGGTATTGAAGCACGCACATATGCAATACCACGTCGTAAGGTGTGAGCCCTTGAGGATGCTGTACCTATTGTCTTATTCTGACACATGTAATAAATCTAGGTTCGAGTCAGAGACTGGGCTGGTGATGGAAAAGGCCGAGTCAGATTGTGAGGAGCCTCACATGGATCAGAACTGGAGATCTAGAACGCAGCCATTTTCATGGAACAGATTCAATGCCGTTCTAACCGACAACAACAGGCGTCAAGAGTTGATTCGGTAGAGGAGGGCGTGACCTGTTTCCGTTTATGGACTGTAAATCGTATACTCTTCGTAACTTCAGCAATGGACCAGGTGGACTTCTGTATGGATTGTATGGATGCACGGCCCATAGCTAAGGCGGCAGTGCGGGTAGTGGATACAAGACCCCTGAAGGCTAATTCATTTCATTAGGGACCTTTGTCGAGAGGTAACTTGACTTCACTTTGGAGCTGCCTACTCTGTGTCCGAACCCGCATGTACATACGGCAAGGACTGAAGCAGGGGCTAACCTGGGTATTTGATGGATTCATCAGCATCAGGCTGGAGACAAGACGGGGATGAGATGGAACTGGATTGCCCACAAACGATAATACATAAATTAACCAGAAGTTGAAGGATGAGGTAGTGTACAGTTGTGGCGGGGACAAGCACAAGCAAATGCATATTGCCAGACCGAGATCCCAATCTGGTATATCTAACGTTACAGTACGTTATTAGGTATATCAAGATTTACGTACGGGCCGTTAGCTATCAGAAATTGATTGACCAATAAACGTTTTCCTCTTTAAAGACGAACCAACTACAGTAACTTAATATCCATCTCCAGCTGTGTAAAAGTAAAACTTTGGTACCTGTTTAGACTATTACGCCGAAGAACGTTTATTGGGTGAAAATTCTTCAATAAGTCGTTGACCGTTTGGGCATGCACCACCAGGAGAGAGGACTGAGCTTATCAATTGAGCCGCAAAAGATGAGGAACCATCGTTTGCCAGGATCGACCATTAAATCCATTGCCAGTTATTTGCGCGGCTAAACAACAGGATCCAGACCAAGGCTTCTGAGTCTAGAGATGGTTGCAGATCACCTGGTAGAGTACAATGCTCCGTAGAGTCTGTCTCACTTCAACTTCATACATTGTGATCCACTCTGCAAACTTCAAGCCTGTACAGTACTGCCCGAGTTGGCCGAGATCAGATGGTGTACTTATCAAAAATAGACAAGACTCAAATCGCGTATTAGTTTCCGCGACCATCGTCAACAGGGTTTCCCGCTCTTTGGTGGTCTTGGTCTTGGTCATGGTGGAGGTGGAGGTGGAGATAACCTAGAGGAGGCTCAAAAAGAAAGCCAAGTCTTTTAAGGCGAGAGAGACTTCTCACTGTGACTGCTCTGGAAGAACTCCATCAAACTCATTTTTTCCACGCCAGGGTTCCTGTCATCCCCGGCGAGTCAGAGGTATCTTGTCATTGGGCGGGGCCCTGCCAAGCTTTGTTTGTCGACAACACAGGACCAGTCAAACCTGCACATGGTCAATGCAAGCATGGAGAATGGAGGACTAAAATTCCTGGAGAAGCATGATGACGGAGACTTGGATGGATACTCTTTGAGCCTCCCAGGGCTGAATTGTATCCGTAGTCTAGAGAATTATCCAGACCGTTCCCTCTTCTCACGTCCCACAATGAAATCACAAAAGGCCCGGGGTTATGTACGATGATGGTCAAGACTCACTTTAGCCGGGGGAGTATCCGTACTTTTAACAAGAAAACGCCACTATTCATATGACAGAGACAGGGGCTCGTATATGGCATATGCGCAATAATACTATACCTAATAATAATGCATGGATTCTGTCTAGACCTGGCGTTGAAGAAATCGCAGAGCCTGCAGAAGACCAAATAGATACCTAGATTTAGACAAAGACTAAAATGGATCCAAGCTGAACCACTGTAACTATTGGGTAGTCTAGAATAGTTGATCGTGCTGTCTGTCGAATTGGCTTTTTACATAATAAGTTTAAGCATGGATCCGGGACCAAACACTGGTATCAACATCGAAACGAGCGGGCCCAACCGCCGTTCAAACGTCCTTTGTACAGTACAGTATGTAATTAGAAAGTTCTCGCGTGACCATTCACCATCACTCGGAGATGTCTCGCATAAACACAACAACCAACCCAGTACCGTAGCATTGGCAGTACGTTAGTACAATACATGATACGTATCACCTGGGACCGTTGACACCATCGAGTGCCTGATCCTGGCCGTGCCGTGCCGTGTCGCTGCTCTGTGCACTGCCAGTTTATCATCAGACATTTGTGCTGTACTGTACTATAGAGTACACTGGATAAGGTACATTACCTACCTACCTACCTAGGTAGCTACCTATAAGCCACGGAATAAAGTGTTGCAACACACCACCGCAGGTACTAACCTAGGAACTTTGCTTTTCTTGGAGTTGTTGCCTCCTGTGTGCCGCAGCCACATCCACGGCTGCGGCTGTCAATGAATCGGATCCAAACAGGTACAAAAAATATGCTTGGGACAACAGATAGCTGTTATCTGCAATTTAATCGCAAGGAGCAGCTATGGATGAAAGGAAGTCCACCCACCTCTGACGCATACCTACCTACCTAGGTACCTAGTAGGTAGTTACGTAGGTAGATGGTAGGCAGGTTCCTACTTGCCTACTTACCTTACTATGACACTTCCTTGCTTGTGAGGAAAAGATCGCGCTTGCCATATCATGTACAGTACCGACGATATCAGTTACGCACTGTAACAGATAACCTTGAAAAAACGAGATCTCGAAGTCTGGATAGCTTCAAACATTCAGCGTCATGTTGCAACCTGTCCGGATAACTGTCTCCGCTCCAAGGAGGTAACGCATGTATGTGCCTGCTGGATTGGGCATGCTCGACACTGCAACTCGATTGTCGGGTGCGACACTTCCAATCTTCTTCTAGCAACACATTTCTGTATATGCCGAGCGATAGCAGCCGAGACATGCATGCCTTCGATACGATACGACATAACAGTGCTGTACACTATCTTTATGTGCATGATCCGCTATCGAGAATTTACGGCACTGTACGATACAAGTAGTTTTTAGGTTGGCCGCTCTATCTTGGTGTGCCTTTCTCCAACGTTATCCCTCACTATCGTCAATTGCATCCCGACACTCCCTGAGATCCTTCCTGCTTCCTGACGAATTATTGAACTGACAAACGGTCCAGATCATCGCTGCGTTTCGTCGACTCTCACACGGCACCTCAAGCCATTATTCCGCTGCTTCGGACGCCGAAACGAGGACCCTTGATCCTCCACCCTGCTCCACTCACTCTCCAGAGCCCGGGATTCCGTCGCCCCGTCCTTCAGGTTGACAGGGGTGAGTTGTGCTCTGGATCTTTACACCAGATGGAGTACGTATAGACTACGACGCATCCACTTATCAGTGTTGGTTTTGGTGGTACGCAGCACTGCTACAGTACAGGATCCAGTGCGTTGCGCTACGATGGATGGGTCTTGCCAAGTCTAGGATCTTGTCCGGGTGGGCGTTACCGATGCATGCAAAGCACGCGGTGAGTGGATGGACTTGACAAGAGTGGTAACAAGCGGCACAAGGGTGTATGACCGAATGGCTGAACGATAATCTACAGAAAGATATAAACTTCAAAAGTTTCCCACGCATTGTTCCTGCTTTTGTGAGACGAATCTTGTTCGCATGAGCTCATTCGTTTACTCGTTGCGATCCTTATAAGCACCTATCGCCGACTCGCCTTGTCTCTCACATTAAGAAAAGAATTTGACGTTCAACGGCCCATCTGGAATTCCACATCTCTCATCGCCTGCGTGCCGCTCACTGTTGGTGTTGCTACCGTCTTGACCTCAGGCCGTGTTCGTCCAAAACGATCTTCCAGCAAAAGTATAGCTGTCTGTTTTTGGTCATTCCCTGTGATTGACGCATCTGCCGTTCATAGACAGTGGTGCAGTTGACTCATCTACCTGCATTGTTGAGACTCTTATCTCAATACGTGGAACCAATCCTTGTTGGAGAATTGAGTTCACAACTAAGTTGGCTCCGGCTCGATAAGAGGTCCGATATTATACGGCTCAATCTTGGAATTGATTAAGCCTTTTGTCTTAGCCTTTCTACACGAGACCAATTCGCTGTTGTTGTTGTTGCAGGATCACGCATTTTGCAACTTAACTTTAGCTCTCTACCGTCGCAACGCCAACGCCCGCAGAAACGGTTCAGGTCAATTCGAAGTGACTCTCCAGTCTCCACAGCCAGCTACTAGAACAACCTGGTCCCCTGCTAGGCTCGCCAACAAGAGCCCCAGACGTTGCCATTTGGGCGTTGATGACCCATTGCCTGTCCTACGCAACAGGCCTTAATTCTCTAATTTGGATCTCGAAGCGGGCTGTGTCTCAAGCCAAGCAAGGTGTGCCTCATATCTTGGGTACGTCATTCCCACCTTAAACTTTCTGACTGATGCCTCTGTTCCTTACATACATTCTACCCTGTCATTGTCGCAAACTGCCCAATTACTACCTCTGTACTCTGTTTTGTTTTCCCTTCACCTACAACCGTTATCGTAATTGATTGTCTTGGTTTGCTCGATTGACTTACAAGCGGTTTCTGCTTCTAGGTATAAGAGACGAGTATTCGCAATTTGACTCCCTAGTCTGACCGCGAGCAGCGTTTTTCGCTCGCTTCTTTCGTCATTCGCTTCGCTTCGATTGTCCCTCCAATTCGTGTTCGAGATCATTATAGCAGTCGGGTCCTCCTCGCACGAACGAGCTTGAGGGAAGCGATTCCAAATTTTCGCCCATTGTCTTCGGTTTTTTTTTCTCTCTTTCCTTTATTTTTGTTGAAACCAATTGCGAAGGTCAATATGAAGTTCGGGGAGCATCTTGAGCGGGAATCCGTCCCAGAATGGAACCTCCGTATGTGACCCTTTTGACCCATTGTCCAATTGCAGTTTACTAACTGATGATCTCTTGTGCAGATAACCTCGATTACAATTCCATCAAACATGAGATCAAGATGCACACAACACGCGACCAGGCCACGGCTATGGCTATTCCGGGTCAGAAAGACGAAGCTTTGAGTCGATTCGAGGATGGCTTATACATGGAACTTGGTCGTCAGCATGAGAGATTACAGCTGTTTGTCTCGAGTAAAGCAGACGAGATTTCGCGCCGGTTAGGTAGGATTTTTTTGGCTTGGAGCCCTGCGCCACGACTTAATGGCACGCGATCACATACCTAAACTGACACCCCTACTAGAATATCTCGCCAAGAACATCAATCGATGGGCTTCAAAGAACCGAGACGAACTCGCCCATGACTCAGCAATAAAACACCAAAGAAGGTTCACCAAATACGAGCGCGAGCTGGTTCGCTGCGGTAGCGATATTCATGCCCTTGAACGCTTCGTCAATGCCCAAGCAATCGCTTTTCGAAAAATCACTAAAAAATACAAGGTGCGTGCGTTATCATGGTTGCTAGGTGCAAACATACACCACGGAAACATGTGCTGATTATTCCTTTGTCTACAGAAATGGACTGGATCTACGACCCTCGGCGCTCGCCTCTACGAGAACATCCTCTCCGACCCCAAAAGCTTTACTCGTCGCGACTTCTCCTCCCTCCAACAGCGATATGACGACATTACTTGCACCCTAAACGCTGCCGCTCCCGCATTGAGTGAGCCTAGCTCGCCAGAGTCCCCAGCTCAATCTTATCGACGTCAGTCCCTGTCGGGCTCTATCAACTCGGCGAACCGCCACCATACTGGCCGTTCTCAACCCAACTTCGAGTTCTTGCCCCCACCACAGATGGAGGGCCCGACCAAATACTGGAATGAGTATGACAATGGAAGCGAGTGCGCAGACGACGATGGTGGATATGCTATCTACATAAATCCAGATGAAAACACCAGTTTTCCTGGCCTTGACTATCTACAGAATATTTTCACAGCCCCTTTGAACAAGGCAAAGGGCTGGTTTAGGCATAAGAAAACTGGAGAGCGTCAGGGTCTCCTCGGTGCCAACCATTCGCCGTACCAATACTCCAGCACAACTTTCAATGGCAGTGAATCTGATGAGGAGGCGGGATACGCCAGCTCAGACGGTTTCCCTACAACCGGATATGCCACCCATTACGCCCTCCCCAGCCTCAGCCAACAGCAGGCGCACTTGTATCGTGAGAAGACGCTATTCTGGGGTACTGTCGGCTCATTTGCCGTATCATTCCTGCTCCTACTTGTCGCTGGCACGCTCATCTCTACCGGCCGACACAGGCTCCGCGCCGAAGTTGATGCTGGCGTTACTGTTGGTGTTGTCGCAAGTTTGTTTACCGCGTGTTGTGCTCTTGGCATGACACTCTATCGGCATGACCAACTATCTTTACCACACCTATTCGCTGTGTGGACTACCTTTATCGCTTCTTGTATCCTCAACGGCATGCTACTCATCCTTGTCGTTGGGAACTCTCCTTGATATTTCTATATCAGCTTTATTTAAATCGGGTACGCATTGTCTCCAAAACCTGTACCACGATGTAGACGTTTGTTTTATTCATATAGTTTCCTCGATTGGGTATTAGGCGTTGAGCGCATATCATGAGCAAGCATTGATACTTGGGCGTTCTGTTTCCGCGACGGTAGACCGAAGATTGACCGTGTGCTTGGACATGGCGAGCATTGTGTTTGTATATGGCTTCTCATATACACGTGTACAAGCTCGACGGCAAACATATGAAAACAGTCGAAATCTTGCGGTGGTTGAAAGCTGGTAAAGCAACAACGGGTATTTAGAGCCGTATAGCAGTAGCTTAAGAAATATTTCAAGATCGCCAAACCGGGCTTCAAAACTGTCCCAGTGAACCCTCCTTTCTCAAGCCGTCCCTTCCACGTAAGGAGTATTAAGTACTGGCGGGATCCGCCAATCGCAGAGCGCAGACCAAAGGGCCCGTTTCGTTTTCCTTAGTCGTCCATAAAGCACCATTGCGTCTCGTCGGAATCCGCTAAAAACAGTTCAACCTTGTTGACAAGTTGTCCTGTATTGAGTCAGAAGTTGGTTCGTTAAAGTGTTTTATGCTCCATGGCTTGATCCCTTGACGGTGTGTTTTGCCAGTAGCCTAAGAACTTACCGGCAACTCCCCATCTCTTAGCAAAGAAGTGCAACGATGCGAATATGTTGTGAAATCTTGTATCGGCTTCGGGTATCAAGTGTTCCAGGTGACTCAAAACCATGAGACAGTGATAAGCCGAGTAAGGTGTGACGGGGGAGCAAGGAGCCAGGAGGTGCGGGCGGTGAGCGAGCTGGTCGTTGAGGTCGGTAGTGGTATCAGCGATGATACGAATGGTGAAGTTGAGACCGGCGATGGCCTTGGGTGCGATATCATCAGATGTTGGGGAAAAAGGACCGACGGCGGTTATCGTGCTGGCGGCGCGGAGTTGACGACAGTAGAGGAAGAGAAGAAGACTGAGATACTTGTTAGCCCATCACAAGGATGAGTACCACAACATTTCTGTCATGGCTCAATGGTCAGTTAAGCTTACCATGTGCATGTAGCAAAACATTCATAAAAGTCGCCCCAACGAGAAGTCTGCATGATCATGGCTTCCACCAAGGCCCTGGTTGCAATATCAAGTTCAACATACTCCTCCAGAAGAGCATTTGGATTCCCCTGGGGCTTAGGCGAATAGGCTCTTGTATAAAGCATGGCACACTGGCAGTTCCTTTGGAACGGTCCGAGAGGCACCGAAGGCGCAATATTTGCAGGATGCCGCTGGACGGAGCGTGTAGGCGACTGGTTTTGATCGTGCCAGATCAAATTGCTTGTCGGTAGCAAGTCATCTACAGCAGGCGAGGGCACCTGAAGTGGCATATGAATAAGAGAACAATCAACATGGATAAGACGATCCAGTACAAAAAGACTCCAGTAGATGCAGCGACGCTCTTCTTCTTCGTAAGGTATATTAGCCTCCCGTTCGGCCTCAACATATTTCCCAGGGCGGATGCGTAGAACCAACGCCATAGTATTGGCATCTCCGATACTAACGTAGGCACGCATGACATCACCATGACCGAACTCAAAGAGTGCGAGCAAGATAGAGCATTGCACAAGCTCAATGCTGGGAGCGGAAAGGCCACGAAGGACACTCAGAGCTCGCTTGGCTGCTCGGTAAGCAGGCATCTCGATCATGTCTTTACCCTCATTAACATTGGTGCTTGCAGCAGCAGCCTCGTCATCGTATTGAGAGACGAGCTGCATGCAGACAATCAAGAGGGCAACGGCGGGATCGCGAGGAGCTTGATTGGCACCGAAGCTGGGACCAGAACCAGAGCCAGAGCCAATACTGTCTGTACGAATGGCGAAAAGTTCAGGGTGAACGACGGAGAACCAGGGATTCATAGTTTCAAAGTAGCGCTCTGTGGCCTCGCGCCAAGGGATGTTGCGCGAAGACAGAAGAGCCATAATCATCGAGCTCGAGACATCGAAAGCAGGATCGAATATACCCTGTCCGTAAGCTTCCTTGGGCGTAGATCCTGCAAGATATCCCGGTTCCACAACAGCGGTAGTTGGGGCCGTGTAGATAAAATCGTAGGAGCATGTGGTTGCAAGCCTAAAGAGTCAGTCAAGAGCGAGGAAGAGAAAGATCAGTGTCTTGGAGGGAGAGCGAAGGGATAACTACGCACCTCGTACAACGAGAACAAGCAGGCAATGCTTTGTCACATTTCTTTTTAGTGCGAGTACACTTTTCACAGGCTCTGTGAGCACGTTCAGGCTCCATGGGAGACTCAGAGCCCCGTGAAGATGATACGGAGCGAGACATGATGGTTCTTCTTCGTGGGTCCGTGGTGGCTGATATGTAGCCCGTAAGATGGGCTTAAACTTGAAGTAGTATTTGGTGGATGTAAGTAGCAGAAGGTTAAAGCGACTACGCTTTTATTGTGTCAGACAACAAAAAGGCAATGGGAGAGTATGATCTACCTAGGTAGACAGACGACTGTTCTGGCTGTATACTTTGATCTGATGAGAAGATGTAGATATACTGTGGAGGAATCTTTAAGCAATGTAGGTAAGTAGATGAAGTCTAGAGTGATAAGTAAAGCTGGAATCGAGAACGGCGGTTGGTAGTTATAATAACTGGTACTTGTATCGAGAAGACAGGTAGGTAGGTAGAAAGAGAGAGGCAGAGACTCGAGTCATTGAAGCCGGGGATGAGGGCTATTTGACGTCGAGTCTCTATAGGAAGAGAAGATGATGCCCCCCCGGGCCACAACGATGTATAGATGTCGATGGGGCTCTTAACGCTTCCAGGCCTGGGGCCAGAATAGGGCTAGGGGGTGGTTGCAGATACCGTCCCGTGCCGTATGGTACGGTACGGTACGGTATGATACGGGATAATATGGTCTATGCGAAGAAGGATATCGCCTCAACGACGCGCTGTGTAGTGCTGGGCTGCACGCACTGCACTGCGCTGCCGGTCTGCTGTACTGTACGGCACTGTTGCGGAACGGCAGTTGGCAGACCCGGGAGACGGGATACAGGAGACAGGATACAGGTACCTGCCAGGTTCCCAGCCTGGCAAGATTGACAGGGACCAAATCCAAAGGATGACGTCTAATCGGTTAGTAAGCTGCTGACTGGGGGCGATGGTAAGTCTCAAGGCTGTAAGGCTGAAGATGTTGATTTGAAAGGATGGGTAAAATATTGGAAATTGGGACGAATAGAGTCGAGTCCCTGCACAAATAGTAGACAAGGCAGGTACCAGACATGGAAAGAGCGGGGGTCAATGGCACTGCTGCTACCTCACATTCAAGGTCGGTGGTACCTACCTGTTGAGTTAGCTCCGTAGGGCGAGGCAGGGGACGGAATGATTTCAAATAAAAATGTAAGGAAGGTTTGGGTCCATACTGACCTAGTGAGGTAGTGGGTAGGTACTCACCTAACCAGGCAATACCAGAAGAGGAAAGAGGAAAGAAGACCATTGACAAAGAATGCGTTCGCTGCAATGCAATGCAAGAATGGAAGGAACACCTTGTGGTAAAGCAATACCTGTTGTCAACCTAGAACAGCAAGAATGAATAAATCGAGCAAGTACAGCCCTAAGTACCTCCTAGGGACCTAGCTCTCCGCGATGGCTGTCGAGTAGTGGAAGGTACCCTTAGAACCTGGTTACTGTAGGTAGTCAGTGCTATACTATACAGGGTCTAGACTGATTGTGCAACCCGATACAGTTCCAAATTGACGGAATTGATTGATGTGAATTCTGTCTCCGAGATACCGGGTCACCTTTTGTCATACCCATATCAACCTATGGTACCTAGGTAGGTATATTTCTATGTCTTAAGGTAGTTGGCTCATCACGTCGAGTGTCTGCTTGTGTCAGGTATCTGATTACTACTAGTACTCTAGGTACCTATGGATGGTGGGAGCGGAACGGGGAGACCGCTCAAATCCTCAGCCCAGCGAGGCCATGTCATGTCATCCACGGATCCAATGGAGGTCAGCTTGCAGCCCAGTGGATGCATCCAAAATCTACAGCGATTGACCGTCCCGGAACGGTTGTTAGCGCTAGGCTTAATTAGCGGGAGCTGAGCTGAAGGTTCCATGACATGACTTAATCATGCCCACCTAAGCAACTTGATGATATGATACCTATGGATGATAGTCAAGCGAGATCTCGATCGTACCCGACACAACTTTTACGACATGTCAAATCACTTATAAAGCATTTTCAAACTAGAAGCCTCATACTCTTTCTAGAAGCGGCTTACTGTTGATTACCTAGATATTCAGATATATGTAACGCTGGCCTAATCGGACTTGCCTATCAACCCCAATATTCAACTCCAGCAACATGACATCAACAGGGTATCATTTACTAGGTACGTAGCACAACAAAGCAGACAGACACTAACGTACCTACTTAGGTAGGTAGGTAGGTAGTCGGAGCGTGCAACCTCTGCTTTTTTCGTACAAAACACGATAATCCCATGTCAAGTTATCTAATTAAAGAAACAGTCACATCTCAGTTGCTTCGTCTTCTTCTCCTTCATCAAGTTCAATCCATGTCGACTGGTTAATTGTCAAGTCTCCTCCTCTTCCTCCTACTCTTCTTTGGAGTCATCTCCATCCAAACAGAAAAACAAGTTGGAAATGGCTCAATGGAAGAAGAATACGAGGAACTAGTCTCTGCTCAGCCATACTGCTGCTTCCTTCCTCTTCCTGCACTGCCTTATCTCCAATCCACTACTCAATCAGGCAATTTCAAGAGTCGACGTTGGTATCTGCACGGCCGTTGCAACACTTGTCGTTTATGGTAACACCACAAAAAAGGAAACCAGTGAGTGATGCTATTCAGACTTTGTGAGAGCTGATTAGATGATCCAAAAAAGGTACGCTTAAGCAGGAGGATGCTATACCCTGTCTTATACCCTGACGATGATGATAATCTAAGCGGTTTTGGGACAACTGACTCACCCGGCGTAAACCCCAACGCGACCTAACAAGGCTAGGAAACTCGTTGGATATTTAAACAAGCCGCAATTGCAATCGTGTAAAAACTACGTAGAAGTTGTAGAATAACATTCCTATTGACCTTTTGATCAATTGGACGTTGACTGACTCTCAACTATTGTAACATTCATCGTGTCGACTCAAATCACATCAAACCAATTCAACTCCAAGAGAGTATTGATCACACCTATTCAGAGACTTCAATTCACCAACTGAGCTCACTCACTTCACTCATTCGGTCAACCCACCGACACCGCCACAAATCTTTACAATGACCACAAAGCAGGTTCTCCATCGTATCCGCCCTGGCGGATTATCCGATGTCAGTGTTGCTACAAGGCTTTATCTCCAGAGCTTCGACAAGGAGGCCCTGCTCGACTACATGTTTCCTGACCGTCGCACCGATCCAGCTCCCTTTCAGAAATGGGTAGACCGACGCTTCTGGATACGCTACTGGACGCCAGGCTATGTTCTTACTATGCTCGATGATGCTAAGGGTAAACCTGTGGCCTTCACCTGGTGGCATATTCCGGACGAGTCCTTATCTTTTGCAGATCGATGGCTCTCACTTCGTATGTCTCCATGCTATTCACTTGTCTATCCACTTAGTTAGCTCTGTACCAAATCCTGGCTGTTTTGCTTACTCGCCTTAGATGCCTGGGTTGCTCCGATCATGCGGGCGGTGTTACAGCTTCACCATTACCTCTTCCCCCTTCGTACTTTTGATGCTTATCGTCTTGGTATCTACGACCGTGTATTCAGTACTATCGAGCCAGATATCCTCAACTCTCAACGTCGTCGGTCTGCTTGGTACCTTTCTAGCCTTGGCGTCTCTCCCGATGTCCAGGGCAGTGGCTACGGCTCGCTGCTGCTCCAGAACGGTTTGGAGGCGGCCGATCGTGCAGGTGTTCCCACTTGGCTGGTGGGATTGCGTGGACTTGACAATTTTTACAAGCGTTATGGCTTCGTCGAAGTGGCTAGGGCCAATGTTGGAGAGTTAAAGGATTGGGATGGTGGTGTTGTCATGTTCAGGGGGGAATGAAGCAACAGCTGGTAACCATCATCAGCTTTCAGACTGCTCGCTGCTCAACATTTACATGGTTTCCGACGATAAAATCATCATCATGAGACATCACCAGCTGGTAGTACCGTTTGTTCATTTAATTTATTGCTTCTTCAATCTATCTGACTAGTGCCAGGCGTCTTCAACCAACAAAATCCGTGATCGTGTCGTAATCATAGCATAGCAAATATCGGTAACGGAGCAAGTCGTAACCTCCGCAAAACTAACTGGGATCCCGCCCGTATCGACTGATATCGCATACTGCCCCAGTCCTTTCGCCGCAGTCGTCCCTGACGTGCAACTATAGGTGGCAATATGCAAGTACAAACAGAGGGCATCGAAAACAAATCTAAAAAGAAACCAGACATCGAGCCAGCGTCATCGATGAAGCAATAACGAGAACTCCACCGTACAGAAACAAGTGCAGATCAAATACCACTGCAGTCACCACGGAGCCAACACCCTTCGAAATCGTAAGCAAGTAGCTATGCGTGCAGCATATACGAGCAAGTGCCAACGTCTTGTTTTGTTCGCCATCATTCAGGGATCCTGTCCCTCTCCTGTAAGCCGTTCCTAGAACCTTGAGCACCGCGCTGATCATCAACAGCTTCGTTTGTCGACCATTTGTACTGATGTGTTTGCAGATTGTCGTCGGCGTAGTCGACGTCTAACCCACCCAGGGAAGCATATCCGGTTTGATGCTTTGAGCGATAGGCCGCTGTTGGGTACGCGGTGGAAACCACTTCGCCAGTTACTAGATCAGCACCGGAAGGCTCTGGAATCTCCTCTTTATGATACTGGTGCGAATAATGGAGGCTAGTTTCGTCTGCATCGGCCAATGTGTACTGCTGGTATTGGTTCATAGAGCGGCCGATCCCAGCGTTCCACCCAGTTTCGGAAGAATACCAAGAAGGCTGGTGGATTTGCGGGCGCTGAACGTTGGCGTAGGGACCCTCATCGAGCGTTACTGGGTAGGTAGAGGCGTTTGCGCCGTTTGCCATGTCATGGTAATGACGCTGTGCCGGACTTTGATACGAGATGCCAGTTTGGTCTTGTGCGGACCCGGATCCGTAGACGTGATGATTGACAGAGGAAGTGGGCTGCGTTCTGATGGTAGGAGATTGGAACTCGCGACTGTCCCGGCTGCTGTGAGTAAGGGGCCTTGTCGTGTATGCCGCAGTGTTTTCGCTGGCAATTCCTGGGAAAACAGCCATGTGGCTCGAAGGGGTTCTATCAGTCAGTACAAACTCACTCGACCTATAGTGGTAATCACCACCATAGGCCGCCTGAGAACGAACAGCACTATCGTATGAACCTCGGTGATCGGTCGTTGGCGCCTGCATCTGACGATTAATACTGAAATAGCTCATTGAAGGTGGTATTGGGTTCTGACTGTCATGGTAGGCAAGACTGGCTCGTCGATCGGTATCTGGTCCTAGGCCAGAATCCGTGAAAGGAGACCGAGTGCCGAATGCATAAGAAGTGCGTCGATGAGGCACATTGTCGATGTGCGATTGAGGCTGATAAACGGATCGAGTTCCATTGTAAGCAGCGGGAGGGTTAGGTGAGGCTGTTGATTTGGCGCTGCTTCGCTCGCTCATGTACCCTTCCTCCTGTACTGGTTCGAGGGGTGATGATTCTTTGACAAATGAGACCGGGGACTCAGTTGCATTCCCCGTGTCCAGAGGGCGTCCAGGATGGGTGGCAAAAGAAACTTCACCTCCGGTCGAAAATTGTGTCTGAAGTTGAGCAGGTGCGTTTGTGAAAGCATCAACAACCTCCGGAAGAAATTCAACGGGCGGGACGTCCTTGAGCGTTCCTTGTTGAATTTCATGATGAAGACGTTCAACAACGTCCAAGATCTCGTCGTGTGTCTTACCTTCTCCAAGGCTCTGCATAATCCAACGAGGAATGAGGTCACGGCCGTTCGTATCTGCCATGCGCTTTACCTCACGCCTGCGAATCGAGAATGTCCATGATCGAATAGCGATGCCCTCTTGGTTGGTTCTGTTTGAGTTCTCCAGTCCGCGGCTCCAGAAAATCATTCTAACAATCTGTTCGTATACCATACCGATTTGAGTTACGCTGAAATCGGCTCCCGTGCGATAACGAATCCTCTGATAGTGTTTGCGACACATGCATACCCAGACACGCTCAGGTATTCGGCGGGTACAAACCTTGTTGCGACCGAAAAGGTGTGAGATAACCTTACGCGGGACGGATCCGGTTGTGCAGTTTTCGACTGCCATACAGATGTCGCCCCCTTCAAGAGCCGTGTTGACATCAACCTTCCTGAAGCGACGACATGCTGCGATGACGCGATCGTTTGAGTTGGCATAGTTTGCTGCTGTGAAAGACAAATGTGTCAGTGTAAAGATGCTTATTGAAGCTGCCGTATACGTACCTGGTAAACTTCTGTCAGGCAAAACCTGACCACTCTCCTGAGGATCAAAGGTGGATTTGGTCGTCATGCTTGGGGCTGGTGAACGTTCTTCCGATTGTGCCCAAGGATACTGCTCAAGGCCTGGACGCTCATAGACTGTATTTATCTGTGGCGAAGGGAGCGCTGCGGTCTCAAAATGTCTGGCTGTAAGGGGTGGCAGAGTTGCTGGGGCCCTGTTGAACGACTGTACAGAGCCTGCTGCAGGGTTTGGCGCTGAAATGGTGCGCTTATGAACACGATCCAGTGGCTTCAACAAGTGATCCTTTGATTTCAAATAGCTGGAAAGAGGAGAAGTGTCAGTCAGTGTCTTTTCGACGAGGAATTTATAGCTTGGAAGTGAGAAGAGATAAGAGGGGAAGGCTGGCAGGACACAAGACGTTGAGACTGGGAGGTGCAGAAAAAAGAGCGTCTCCCTGAAGCTGGTCGAGTCAATAGAAAGGTGACCAAACCATGCAGCGTGATTCACAGTTTCTGCAGCGAGTTTGCGATACGTCGAGGATGCCTTAGCGAGACGAGTTTTTTGTAGCGCCATGAGTCTAGCCATGCCTGAACATCATCTGTCTTAGAGCCCTCTATATCAGGCAGGCATTGATCCACTGACAATAGAAACATCGACTGTGATTCACCCACAGCAAACGTGCCAGGATCTACTGCTCCAGGCAGAAATATGGCTGGAGTTTCTTGTACCAGCAAACGAAGTAGACAAAGCATTACATGAGGATGATGTTTTCGACAATTAAAAGTGAATCAACATACCTTTGATCTCCTGACAGTTGGCTGTATTTCCTCCTTACCATTCTCGCCTCGAGAATCGAGTCGGAAGGGCTGCCCGAGGACCATGGGCCAGCAGAATTGGCTGTATGAGGCAAACGCAGTTCTTGTTTGACAGGAGGAGCAGTAATGACGGGTGGCAGCGGTGCTGAAATTCTTGGTAGACGCTCCAGTTTGGCCTCCAAGTCAGCGATTCCGGAGCCCATAACGTGACTTCCATTGATGGTGGATACGGATGAGATTCTAGAGTGATTGGCAGAAAACGTCGACGAACAGCAAGACGAGAAACTACTGCGACTATCTGACATCTTGTGACTTCTTGAAGCAGGTGATGTATTATAATCGGTCCAGAGGCTTGACCTTGCAACATGTTAGCACATTTGGTATACTTATGTCGCAACACATGGCACTATAGCTGTGATGAGCCGAGAACTTACCTCCGTACATGCTGAGAAGGGCGACCTTCGCTGTGATGACTGATACTGTTAGCCTTTGGCGTTCAGTCGATAGCAGACTACATAGAAGCACGGAGCAATGCACCTTCTTGGAGTCCAGCCATCTTGGTGGACATCTGGGGTTGAAGCCATTCTTCTGAAAGCACTGTTAGCCTCAATGCCAACTCATGTATACTGATCAGTTTTCTCCAGCCTGCTTACCGAACGGGTAGTGTGTACGGAGCCGAGGCGCCTTGATGGTTCATGCTTGCTGATGCGTCCATTGACACTTTTCTCATGGGATTGCTGGGTGCACTTTGTAATCTCGAGGTCTCCTGCTGGTCTCCCCAAGAGATAGTTGAGAAGGGGGATCGTGAAGAAGGGGTCGAAACATTGTCTCTGGGCAACGAGTAACCTCCAGCGTCCCAAGGCGTACGGGTTCGGCTATCAGACCGCACACTTGAAGCTCTGGATTGAGCGCTTTCTGGAGATGGAGTCGACGACGGGAATGATGAACCTCTTCGTTCCCATTGTACACTATTTTGCCGTGTGCTCTCTCGGCTGGTTCTCGCTTCCGCTTCTAGTTCGTTGAACTGGTTGAGGATCGACTCAATCTTCATGGCTAAGAAGTATCTGGGGTGTTCCAAAGACAAGATATTAAGAAGGTATTTTTGAGTAATTCTGGGAATGTGAGATTTCGAGTAACGACGGCTGCCTTGAAAGGGCACTGACAATGGGGTTTTATCTAGTGGTTATGGAATCGAAGTGTGAAGCCGTGTTTCTGGTCGTGATAGGTAATACAGACTATTACAGTTGCATAGTAACTTTTGTTGAAGAATGCTAGAAACGGGATCAACCACGTTCCGGGGTAATTAACGATTAGGGCGGGAAAACACTCCACAGAATCGGGGAATGAAGAAGGAAAACGACGAAAACGAAGTGATTGGAGAAGCAATTCGTTTGTCCGCCAGGGGGATGTCTGTTTCTTGTACGTCTTCCAGAAGACCAGGGTACTATTAGGGTGCTGAATGATATGAAACTTGGCAGATGGATGCTCTTTCGCGTTTCGATGCGGAGTGAGAGGGTGTCAAGAGAGGCTGGAGTATCGAATAGATCGAAGTCTGACCCGCTGAACCGAAGACTTCAGGTTGCAGATCTCGCTCAGGGTCAGGGATATTGTTTTCTTCTTGTTCGACGGGGCCCTCCTAGCTTCATATCACCGGAGCCGCTTTGTTTGGTTGTCTGATCTTTTAACTAGTGACGGAGAAGACAAGGAAGAGGGTTGAAGGCGAGTACCAGATTCAGACACAGCTGGTATGTCAATGCGTGGTACATGCGATCAGGTAAGGGGAAAGGAAGGAGATGAGACGAATCCACTACAACAGAAAAGTAGGTCCCTAAAAGCTTTGACTAGGTGGACAACGCATGAAGTAGTCGGTAGGGTTCTGAAGACGGTAGTCGTTTGGGGTTGGGACTGGGGTTCGGGGTGTCAGGAACAGAGGGCTGAAAGGGTGTGTACCAAAGAAACGAGGACCGGGGACCAGGGGCTTCCATAAGATGTACAGTATTAGTGGACTGGATTAGTCTGGATCGGTGTTCTGGGCAAGGGGGAAAGCCGTGATGGCAATCCTGGAGATGGCAGAGTCAAGAAAACCAAATCGAAAGCTTGCAGCGGAAACCAGCAGCATCATCATTGCTAACATGCTAGGTCTTTGACTGCGACAGTCGGTCCTTGCCCGGTGGCACAGGCACGGTGCCGCATGCATTAGGCGATGATGATGACCCGACAGCAGGATGTGTCCTTGCATTTCTTGTCGAGGTGTGCCATATTCATCAAGTCGCTGGACAGCTTTTGAGCCACAAGTCAGTTCACTGATGGAGGCACGTAGATTATCGAGGGTTGACAGAACAGCCCTAGCAGGGTGGCGCCAGGGAAGGCTGCACTGAAAAGTTCGAGAAGCAGCAAAGCCAAGCATCTCCTTCATTTTGCCGGCACTTTAGAGCAACGGCTCGCCCTTGCTGGTTAGCATGACGGGTTGCTGTAGATCATGGCGTTGAGAGCCCCGTCCGAACCATGATCTCCACAAGGGGATAAATTGTCCGTACCGGGGTTCGAAGGAGTCCAAAAAGGTGAGAGGGTCAACTTGACTAGGGGTGCTCCAGGATAGGCGGACTAGCGGGCCAGTTTCTGGACTAAACATATCGTCAGTAAACAGATGAATATCTATCCCACAGCAGCCATTGTGCCCCTTTCCAAAACTGCTACACTTGGTGGGGGCCGCCGGGAGGCGCAGCCATATGTTACCATTAGATTGACACATATCCCAATGCAGGAAAGCTTTCTTCAGGGGAGCTTGTCGCCTAATAAGCTTCCCAGAGACGGTTGTGTCACAAACCGGAGAGTCTGGGGTGTTACCCATGTCACCAGAAAAAGAAAAGACTGACACATGAAAAGCCGTTGCGGCTTATTAGCTAAGTCTGGTATACTTGCGAGCATATGGTGAATCAATGAATCAACCGACAGCTAGTCGGCAGCTACCGAGGTCAGGCCCTATTATAGGAGAAATGAATGAGCGAAAACGAGAAAGGTGGTTTTTGTGACCTGAAGGCTTATCAGTTTAACAATGAGATGACGAGAAGCTAAAGAGGTGCACCGCAGGACCATGTCGATTGCCCCATACAGCCGTCACTACGGGCATTTGGCTATTGTGTCAATCTCACGCCGTCGGCTATCGCGCCATTCGGCATACTCTGACGAGTTTGTACTTCTAGGCAAGATGCGGCTTGCCTGGACGAGAAGCTGGGATTGGCTTATAATTACCCAGATAGGTTTTGCCCGCGGAGTTCTCATTACACGGCCATTGCGCCAGCTGCAACTTGTTAGTGAAAGATGTTGCGATGAACAGTCATTGCTCGAAGAGGCACAGGTATTAAGAGCGGCCTACCATAGGCCGGCTGTCAAAGAGCTGGAGCCAAGATAGGGCGAAATGGGATGGTGCCGGTGACTCTGGGCCGATCGTGTTACATTGAGCACCTGACGGCCAGCTTTCTTCTGGATGGCCGAAGCTTCTGCTTGTGACAACTGGGTCGCGGTTGTAATTATGCTACGTTTTCCACGCTGGCGGACGAGTGGTTTGCTGGGAAGGACAAGGAGGTGCGGGCTGATTGGGTTGAGGCGAGAAACACCAAGGCGGCATGGTACTGGTCCATGTGGACCCCAGATATTGAACATCAAAACCCTGAAGTTTTAGCCTCAATCCGGCTGGGATTGCGCATTGCCAGCGGTGACGAAGGTTAAGGATAGCCAGGGATGTCGCAAGCTGTTCCAAGTCGGGATAGCAGACTCCACGCTATCTGCTCATAGTGCGGTTTTGTAAAGATGCGGATGTAGCTCTGACCCAGATTATCGCCGATAGGAAACGGCAGCAAAGCTGGTTCAATTTGAGAAAGAGGCTTAATGATTAAGGCTTAGACTAAGCTACTGTCCCTGCTAAGTTTAGCAGCTAAGAGCAAGGCTAAGAGGTTTCAGCTCTCATCCGAGTCAGTTGCAGCTGGGTTGAGCTGCAACGACAGGGATCTGTCATACACAGACTTGGAGTTGCTTTAGCCGCCGCTGAGTCGAAAGACAGTCGGCAAACAGGGTAAATGGCTCAAGCTGGTGTGTCGTGTCGTCTCTTCGGTCCGGTCTTGTGTCTATTGTTAGATATGCTGGTGCGGTATCCGTAAGATCTTGGGTTTTGAGCAGAGCCAAACGGAGCTGATCATTGTTGGTTCCGGTATCGACACGGTCTTGGACTCTAACGTCGAACCTTTGTAAATTGTTGAGATTGCACGCCTGTGGGTGATTGACACAATGATTGTCTTGGCATGAGAAGAAAAGAAAGACCGCCGTCTTCACGTGGCTAATCTAAGTTCCTTCCTTCGATTTGGAATCCAGTTCTTGCCTACCCATGGGTACTTGCCTTGGGTAACAGGGAGGTGGTTTGGTGCTTGCCTCTCATCATTACCTTGTACAAAAGCGAAGGTTGCAACTACCTTCTTGGGACAAGTTCATCGCCAACATTCATTAAGTAGGAAGGTACTACATAACATAGCATCAGCATTGACGCTGCCTACCACTTTACCTGCCTGCCGAACATTGACCTACCTGACTACTTCCTCACGAGCCAGATGTCATCCATGTTAAATTGGCTGATCTTCAACAAACCTCCATCTTTAATCTCTCCCACCCACAAGGTCGCCCTCCTAGCCTGCCACACACAAACCAGTTCCCCAGATGTTCCCCTCTATTCCTCTCTTGTACTGGCGTAGCCGCGTCAATCACTAGTGTGTGTGGGTCATAGTCGAGTGGATTGGATTGCACGCTCAGTTATTCTGCACGGATGGTCGCTGACACACGCTTCGACACATTATAGATCCGGGCGCTGGTTCAGCTCACAATTTTCGTCTCATAGCAACTCGAATCTCGGTGTTTTCGCTTTCGGACCCAGGGGTTGGCCGCTTCATCTACAATTAGACTACGGCACGATGCATTGAACCACCAACTTCTAAAACACGGACGACCCTCCCTGGTGCTCGTCCCAGAGCGGAGGAGAAGCCGGATATAGAACATCCCAGCAAATCTCTACACCCGGGACGAAGAGACGAAACGCCGCCAGAAGCGCGGCAGACCATGTTCAGAAACGCATGGTCTTAGCGTTGATTCGATCATCTTTCATTCCGTCCCATCCCATCCTGTGCAACACATCGCGGCTACGCTGCCCGCAAAGCCC